TTGTCAGGCTTGACTTGCCCTTGGTGAATCCATGTTGACTATTCTGGATCACTTTCCCCTCTTCCAAGTGCTTCAAAATGGATTCCTTGAGGATCCCCCTCCATGATTTTTCCGGGAACTGAGGTAAGGCTGACTGGTCTGTAGTTCCCTGGATTGTTCTTCTTCCCTTTTTTAAAGATGGGCACTACACTTGCCTTTTTCCAATCATCTGGGATCTCTCCCAATCTCCATGAGTTTTCAAAGATAATGGCCAAAGGCTCCGCAATTATATTTGCCTACTCCCTCAGTACCCTCGGATGCACTAAATCCGGACCCATGGATTTGTGTACATCTGTCTACTCTTTTCTAAATAGTTCCTAACCTGTTCTTTCTCCACTGAGGGCTGCCCACCTCCTTCCCATACTACATTGCCTAGTGCAGCAGTCTGGGAGCTGAACTTGTCTGTGAAGACAGAGGCAAGGAAAGCATTGAGTACTTCAGCTTTTCCCACATCATCTGTCACTAGGTTACCTCCCTCATCCAGTAACATCCCCACACCCTCTCTGATCACCCTCTTATTGCTAACATGCCTGTAGAAACCTTTCTTGTTACCCTTCACATCCCTTGCTAGCTGCAATTCTAATTGTGCTTTCACCTTCCTGATAACTCCCCTGCATTCTTGAGCAATTTATTTATACTCCTCCCTAGTCATCTGGCCAAGTTTCCACTTCTTATAAGCTTCCTTTTTGAATGTAAGCTCACCAAGGATTTCCCCAGTAAGCCAATCTGGTTGCCTACTATATTTGCTTTTCTTACTGCGCATTGGGATAGTGTTTTCCTGTGCCTTTAATAAGGCTTCTTTAAAATACTGCCAGCTCTCCTGGACTCCTTTCCCCTTCATGTTAGCATCCCAGGGGATCCTGCCCATCAGTTCTTGGGGGGAGTCAAAGTCTGCTTTTCTGAAGTCCAAGGTGTGTATTTTGCGACTCTCCTTTCTTCCTTTGGTCAGGACCCTGAAATCTACCATTTCATGATCACTGCTTCCCAGGTTGCCACCCACCTCTACTTTTCCTACTAGTTCCGCCCTGTTGCAATGCTGTGTCGAAAGAACACATCTACTTTTTCGGGAAAAAAATTGAAAAAGCAGACACGCTTTTTCGCCATCCCTGTAAACCTCGTTTTAGAAGGAAGAAGGGATGTGTCGAAAGAGGACTTTTCCCACAACATGCCAAATGTTGAGAAAGCCTCTTTTGACAGTAAATCAGAAAAAGATTTGCAGTGTAGACATAGCCTGGGAGGTGATAGAGCAGGTGAGGGTGGAGAGCCTCTCATTGGTAATGGGGAGCGCGAGTGGTGTCGGGTCGAGGACTCGGCTGGAGATCTGGTCCTAGTTCTCCTGTCATTTAGTGGTAGAGCTTGTGTTTTGGGCATTGGGAAATGGTGGTGGGTTGATGATTTGTGCCTCGCTGCTGAGTCTGCCAGTGCCTGCGGTGGAGGCCTGGGTGCAGCTGATACCCTGGGAGGTCTGGGGTTAGTGCAAGGCATGGAAGGGCAGTGAGAACTAGCCCTGTCATTTCTTGGTAGCCAAGGTGAAAACTGTGCTGGGGGCTCGCACCGCACTGGGAATATCGCCTGTTCTGGTGGCATCACAGGTTCTGGTGGTGCCTCTGTTAAACCAGGGCCCTTAGCAGGTGCCCATTTTGGTGGCTGGGGAGCTGGTTTCGCAGCCTGTTTAGAGCACGCTTTGGAGCCTGTTAGTGAGGAGGCTCGAGATCTTCCTATGCCTAAGGTGCCCGGTTCACCCCCCCTTACGCGTTTGTGACGGGAAGGAGCAGGCTGGTGAGGGCTTGGTATTTGAGCACGCTTTCTGAGATGAAGGGCTTGTGAGGTTCCCTGAGGGGATGTTGCGCCCGAGCCCTTATTGCCCCTTTCAGAACTATGCGAGGAGGGGGGGAGGGAGGCTAGGGCTTTGTCAGTGGACAGCATGCGGGCTGTGAACTCTCTTTCCTTGTGAGCGTTTGCTGTCAGCCTGCGACAATGGACACGGTGTTGCTGTACATGCGTGTCCCCCAAAGAACGCATGCATTTGCTGTGGCCATCAGTGGCTGGCATAGAGTTCCGGCATTTCTCACATCTTTTGGCTTTAGGAGAGCCCGGCATCTCTCCCAGTGGCGGACTATGCCGCTTGTGACCGTAGTTATGAGTAGAGAGCTGTCTGTGTCTCCGTATTGGGAGTTTTGTTTTGTTTGGTTTGTAGTTCGCCACAGCTTGCTGGTGCGTGGCAGTACACTGTTAAGCTAACTAAGCTATAAACAATCTGAAGGAGAAAAAACAGTCTGTTTTTAAATGTAAACTGTATTAAGAGGAACAGAATTAATGGGTAAGTCTACACTATCTATCTAAATAAACAGCTCATCTTAGTTTTGCATAGCGCGCTGAAGAGAGGGTGGGAGCTCTGTCCATAGCTGAGGGCGGCAAAGAAAGAACCGAGGGGAATCAGGCTGCGTCCGCTAACTTCAAAGGCGGGAACGCCGCTCACTGCTCGTGCAGCCCAACTGGACACTGCTCTGAAAGTCTCTGATCCGTGGCACTGGGATGAGCCTGACACCAGCAGTGGAGCACCCTGGGGACATCACTCGAATAACAAGGCCCTTCTCGGGCACTGCTTTCTCTCCAGCATGGGCCAATGGGGCCCACCACCAGGATGAGGGCACGTTGTGCTTCCGCCTACGAGTGGCACCTGCTAGCCTAGTGAACCAAAGAGCATGACCAGCCCTGGGACCCCTCGCGGCAGCCCAAGGCACTCTGACTAGAGGGCAGCGTTAGCCTAGTTAGCATTTCAATAGCTCCCTCTGCAACAAGGGTAACTTGTAAGCTGCCAGCTCCTACTTGTGAAGCAAAATGCAGGACAATGTAGCACTTTAAAGACTAACAAGATGGTTTATTAGATGATGAGCTTTCGTGGGCCAGACCCACTTCCTCAGATCAAATAGTGGAAGAAAGTAGTCACAACCATATATACCAAAGGATACAATTTAAAAAAAATGAACAAATATGAAAAGGACAAATCACATTGCAGAACAGAAGGGGGATGCGGGGGGGTGGGAAGGGGGAGGAAGGAAGGTAAGTGTCTGTGAATTGCTGATATTAAAGGTAGGGAGAGTGGGATGTTTGTGAGTTAATGGTATTACAGGTGATAATTGGGGAAACTGTCTTGGTAATGGGTGAGAAAGTTCAAAGACTTGTTAAGTCCTTGTTGGTAAGTGTCGAATTTTAACATGAATGACAGTTCAGAGGATTCCCTTTCAAGTGCAGATGTAAAAGGTCTTTGTAGCAGAATGCAGGTGGCTAAGTCATTTAGAGAGTGTCCTTTCTGGTTAAAGTGGCAAGAAACTGTTTTCTCTTTGTGATCTTGTCTGATATCTGTTTTGTGGGCATTAATCCTTTGGCGAAGTGTCTGAGTATGGTATGGTATCCTGTTCCACTCCCGTCCCCTTTCACCCCTCCTCTACCTACGGTACATCGATGACATCTTTATGATCTGGACACATGGCCAAGAAACACTGGAGATATTCCACAGAGATTTCAACAACCTACACCCCACCATCAACCTCAGCCTGGACCATTCTACACGAGAGATCCACTTCCTGGACACCACCGTACAAATCAACAATGGAAAATTAGACACCACTCTCTACAGAAAACCCACTGACTCATACAGTTACCTACATGCATCCAGCTCCCATCCAGAACACACCACACGATCCATCGTCTATAGCCAAGCCCTTCGATACAACCGCATCTGCTCTAACCCCACTGACAGAGACCAGAAGCTTCAGGATCTCTACCAAGCATTTATAAATCTCAACTACCCACCCAGAGAAACAAAAAAGCAAATTGAAAGAGCCAGACGAATACCTAGAAACCATCTACTTCAAGACAGACCCAAGAAAACCAACAATAGAACACCACTTGTCATCACCTACAACCCCCAACTTAAACCTGTCCAACACATTATCAATAAACTACAGCCTATATTGGAACAGGATACCATACTCAAAGAGGCTCTGGGAGACAGACCCATAGTCTCCTATAGACAACCACCTAACCTCAAGATGATTCTTACCAACCACCACAGGACATACCACACTAATACCAACCCTGGTACCTTCCCTTGCAACAAACCCCGTTGCCAGCTTTGTCCACATATTCATTCTGCTGATACCATTATTGGACCTAACCAAGTGAGTTATAAGATCAAGAACACATATTCCTGCGCATCCAGAAATATAATCTACGCTATCATGTGCCGAAAGTGTCCGTCTGCTATGTACATTGGACAAACATCTCAGACACTTCGCCAAAGGATTAATGCCCACAAAACAGATATCAGACAAGATCACAAAGAGAAAACAGTTTCTTGCCACTTTAACCAGAAAGGACACTCTCTAAATGACTTAGCCACCTGCATTCTGCTACAAAGACCTTTTACATCTGCACTTGAAAGGGAATCCTCTGAACTGTCATTCATGTTAAAATTCGACACTTACCACCAGGGACTTAACAAGTCTTTGAACTTTCTCACCCATTATCAAGACAGTTTCCCCAATTATCACCTGTAATACCATTAACTCACAAACATCCCACTCTCCCTACCTCTAATATCATCAATTCACAGACACTTACCTTCCTTCCTCCCCCTTCCCACCCCCCCGCCTCCTCCTTCTGTTCTGCAATGTGATTTGTCCTTTTCATATTTGTTCTTTTTTTTAATTGTATCCTTTGGTATATATGGTTGTGACTACTTTCTTCCACTATTTGATCTGAGGAAGTGGGTCTGGCCCACGAAAGCTCATCATCTAATAAACCATCTTGTTAGTCTTTAAAGTGCTACATTGTCCTGCATTTTGCTTCAACTACCCCAGACTAACACGGCTGCATTTCTATCACTATTCTACTTGTGAAGCACCTGGGGAGATTCAGGACGCAGATCAGCGCAAGGGAGCAATGTCTGAACTCACAGCTGTAAGTCTCCTCTCCACCTCCAGAGATCTCTGCTCCACGTGGCTTCTGTCGGCGAGTGCACTCAGCACTGCTCCGTAGTGGGCCTGAGCAGCCCCATGCACTAACAGGGAAATCAAGGCATCAGTGCTTGGTTCTTCCCCGGGGTTTAACAGTTGTAGGACTGGCCAGCTGGCATCTTCTGGGACACCACGCCAGGGAACACAGCAGCCTCCCCCACCCACAATAATTGTCACCAGTTTTGCTAATGCCTAATACATGCCAAAGCAACCTAGGCGTGCAGCCGAAAAGCCCTATCACTCTTCGAGCTAGCAGGCCACACAATCACCTTGGGCTTGCCGCTTTTGAGACCTGAGGGTTGTGTGCAAGTGCTGTGCGTCTAGCTGGCTAACGTGCACTTTGTGTCACATTGCAGAGGAGGTGTTTGATTTACGGGCCAGGCCTCAGAGCTCCCTAAAGTCTCCTCGGGGATACAGAGCATATGGCCTGAGAAAGCCGTTCCAAGGGTGCCTGCCTTCTGAGCCATCAGGGAAAAGTTGCAGGGAGACAAAATGGGCAGGAGAAGGGCTAAAGAAAAGCTTCTCAGAGCTCCAACGAATTCCAAACGAAACAGCTCTTCTGCCCCAAGCCCTGGGCTGAAACGGAGAAAGATGCAGACTTCTTTCAGGCACTTGCTTCTAGATGTAGCAGAGCTCCAAGAAGGCACATAGCAGGAGGCCTGCCTCTCTCTGCTGCTCATCTTTCCCTGCCTTCCTTCTTTTCATGCCCTATCTGAATGCTTTGAAAAGCCTTCCCAGCATAGCTCCTGAGCTCGCTGGTCTCAAACAGTCTACTGCCACCGGAGGTCTGTTACTGGAGTGCCAGAGGTGGGCTGAGGTGGCAGCGGTAATTCGGTACTCTGTATAAAGTAGGGGCATCGTTTCTCCCCTTCTTCTGGCACCACACCAGTTAAATCCAGTCAGGCGTAGTTAAGCAACATACAAAACCTACAGGCTAGACAAACATCCAGGGCAGCCCAGGGGTCTGTCTGTCCAATCTCCCACCTGCTGGTGCTCAGGAGGCCCACCTTCTTCACAGGGTTGCTGGAGCCACTTTTACAGTGGGCATGCTGAGAAGTACTGAACCAAACTGCAACCCTGTTTGTAACAGGAACCCCTTCAAGTGTGTGGTGCAGCAGCTTCCCAGCCCCTATGACCTGGTTCTGAGGACAATTCAGGAAACCCTGTAACAGACAGCTATTTAATAGAGGGCCATAGGGAATGTTTCTTCCTCACTTCTCAGTTAGTGTCTGGCCTCTATCATGTAGCACAAAGACTTGTATCTCCAAAACTTTATTTTTACCCTCTCTTATGTCTCCATTACCCTCAGAGCGCCTTTAAACCCTGCCAAGCTATGCTCACAGCGTCTGTCTGACACAGGGCGCCAGTTAAAGCACCCAGGGATATAGACAGCCAGGCAAAGAGCGCCCAGCTCCGTTCCGTTCTAAGCTGTATTATCGACTCATCTGCAGTGAACTCTGGGTAGCCAGCTTAGAGCAGATCAGTCTTTCCCACGTGCGTCTGCAGCCTGAGCAAGGAAAGCTCTGTAACCAGAGCAGATGGAGGCCCCACTTTCCAACACATTAGAGATATTACCCAGCGACCCATGCTCTGCTGCTTCCCACGCAATGCCAGACACGTACAAGTCTCGCTGGATGTGGCTCTGCCTGCCATTGACTTAAAACATCAGTCTGCTGAGGGATGACTGCTCACATCCGGCCAGAGCCAGAGCCAGAGATGCAAGGCAGTGTAATGCTGACGCTCAAGACGGGAGTTCAGGGGAATCTTACATTTTCACCATAGGTGGTGAACTAGGACATATCGGTATGTGAGAAGGAGTCTGACCTGAAATCTCTGGGCAACAACTTCCTGTGGCAATGAGTTCCACAGTGTAATTACTGTTGCATGGAAAAGTAATTCCTTTGATCAGTTTTGGATCTTCCATGTTTTAAATTGGTTGACTTGAATTGCTCTGATGTTATTAGACCTGAAGAACAGAAGTTCCTGATCTACTTTCTCTAGACCATTAGAGCAGCCATTATTTGATGTACTTTTTTATGTTTCGTGTTATTCATCTCTCTTCTAAGGGAACCCAGATCATTTAGTCTCTCTTCATATGATGTCAATTCCAGTAGCAAGCTGTGTGTCTATAACAACACTGAAGTGGTTGGTGTGACAAAGTGTTGGCTTTGTTGTGCCGCATGTGGTTTCTTCTGTCCTGAAGAACCCCATGTGTGTGCCTCAGTTTCCCTGAGCACTGCAGAATAGCTAGATGGAAATGGGAACTCTCACTGAGGGAGGCAGCAAACAGCAATATGCTTGGAGAGGTATTCCACTGCCCACACAGGAACTGCACACAAGTGCTTTGCAGAGGCCCCTGGCACTGGCTGTTGTCGGAAGACAGGATGCTGGGCTAGATGGACCACTGGTCTGAGCCAGCCTGGCCGCTCTGAGGTTCTGGGTGGTTAAGGCATTGGACCGTGCAATGCCAGCCCAGTAGCATTTGAATTCGGGTCAGTGGCAGGGCCCTTTTCTTCAGAGACACCGACTATGCAGGCCAGGTTCTGGGTGGTTAAGGCATTGGACCGTGCAATGCCAGCCCAGCAGCATTTGAATTCGGGTCAGTGGCAGGGCCCTTTTCTTCAGAGACACCGGCTATGCAGGCCAGGTGCTGCTGCTGCTTGCGGGATTGCCACGCTCACACATGCAGCAGAGCTGACCCATGACACAGCTGCAATCCAGCTCAGGAGCCTTGGGGGAGGCAGTGAGAAGGCAGCGCTGGGTGGTGATGGGGACGCTGGGGTGAGTAATGCAAACACTGTGCACTCTGTATTGCCCTCCACTCTGTGAGCAGCTTGCGGTGTGGCACGTGGCAGGCTATCACAGGAAGCACGTTATATATCTCTCCTGTGCACTGGGACCCCCTTTCTCTTGATAACCCCTCTGCTGGAGTCAATCGCGGAGGCTGACTTCTCACAGCTGAAACAATGACTTCTCTAAGGAGTCTTAAGGGGTCTCGCTCGCTCTCAGGGGACTTCCACACTCCCCCAGGACACTACTCTTCACCAAGACTGTCCCTGCCTTCCTTGCTGGGTAGTGCAGTGTCATATCAGAGCAGGAGAGCAGCCGCTAAGAGGAAATACTTTCCCCACCCCACAGAGCGACTGGGCAAACAAACAGCCTGTGCCTGAAGCCGACATTGAGAGTGCAGATGAGCTTCTGGGGTCTCAGCAAAACCACCCTCTTTGTGCGGAGAATGCCGGGGATTCTCACAAGCAGACATTTGGTTAAACACTGGAATAAGTTGCCTAGGGAGGTTGTGGAATCTCCATCTGTGGAGATATTTAAGAGTAGGTTAGATAAATGTCTATCAGGGATGGTCTAGACAGTATTGGGTCCTGCCATGAGGGCAGGGGACTGGACTCGATGACTTCTCGAGGTCCCTTACAGTCCTAGTATTCTATGATTCTATCTAGGCCAACTCCCAGGTTTTTCACTCTAGATTGGGCCTGCAATTAATGCCTGGCTTGAGGGGGCACACAGACTGCCCTACTCCATCCTGGTTTACGGACCCAGCGACACGCATTGAGCTCAGCTCGCTCTCTGGGGCTGCCCACAGGTACACGCTGGCCCCAATGTGACTGCGATTCCAGAGCGGGAGGCGCAGGCACTGTCACGAAGTAAAGGACTGGATGACCAGCACTGTCCAGACTTGAACAAGAACAGCCAAGTCTTTGGCGCTGCTGCTGAAGAGGGATCTGAAGACCACTGCTCCATCTCCCTCGGGCGATGACCTTCTCTGCTTTTCCTGCTATGTCTTTGCCAATCTCCCCTTCCATGGGCTTCTCGGCAGGGCGGTGCTTGCTATTGCTGGACTTGGCAGCCGGAGTTGGACCCCCAGGGTATACCTTGCCCCAAATAACCCAAAAAAGGCGGCCTTGGAGTCTTGACAAATAACAGTATCAGAAGGGTAGCTGTGTTAGTCTGAATCTGTAAAAGTGGCGAGGAGTCCTGTGGCACCTTATAGACTAACTGAAGTGTTGGAGCATAAGCTTTCGTGGGCAAAGACCCACTTCATCAGATGCATATAGTGGAAATTTCCAGAGACAGGTATAAATATGCAGGCCAGAACAGGCTAGAGATGACGAGGTGGATCCAATCAGGGAGGATGAGGCCCACTTCTAGTAGCTGATCTGGAGGTGTGAATACCAAGAGAGGAGAAGCTGCTTTTGTAGTTAGCTAGCCATTCACAATCTTTGTTTAATCCTGAGTTGATTGTGTCAAACTTGAAGATGAACTGTAGCTCAGCAGTTTCTCTTTGTAGTCTGGTCCTGAAGTTTTTTTGCTGCAGGATGGCTACCTTGAGATCTGCAATTGTGTGCCTGGGGAGATTGAAGTGTTCCCCAACATGTTTTTGTATGTTGCCATTCCTAATATCTGATTTGTGTCAATTTATTCTTTTACGTAGGGACTGTCCAGTTTGTCTGGACCTCTCCAACGCATCATTAGTGATTTACAATCCATCCTGGACAATGACCCCTCACTCTGGCTGATCTGGTTAGGTCCTGTGATGGTGTTGCTAGTGTATACATGTGGGCAGAGTTGGCACTGAGGTTCGTTGCATGGATTGGTTCCTGAGTTAGAGTTATGATGGTTCGGTGTATAGTTGCTGGCGAGAATATGCTTCAGGTTGGTGGGTTGTCTGTGGGCGAGGATTGGCCTGCCTCCAAAGGCCTGTGAAAGCGAGGGATCATTGTCCAGGATGGGTTGTAGATCACTAATGATACGTTGGAGAGGTTTTAGCTGAGGACTGTAGGTGATGGCCAGTGGTGTTCTGCTGGTTTCTTTCTTGGGCTTGTCCTGTAGAAGGAGGCTTCTGGGTACACGTCTGGCTCTGTTAATCTGTCTCCTCACTTCCTCGTGTGGGTATCGTAGTTTACAGAATGCTTGTTGAAGATCTTGTAGGTGTAGGTCTCTATCTGAGGGGTTGGAGCATATGCGGTTGTACCTCAGTGCTTGGCTGTAAACAATGGATCGCGCGGTGTGTCCGGGATGGAAGCTGGAG